TCCCCCTCCTCCCCCTCCTTCTCCCATATTCTCTGTAATCAGCCATGGCGCAACTGAGAGAATAAATTCCAGCTTAAAAAATACTTAGATATATATAAATCCAAAAAACTTTGAAATACTTCGTTATATTTAATCTTTTGTTTACATTGTTTAGTATAGATTATCGTTAATCTGGGATTCTTGATCTTGATATCCAATGTAGACAATTTTAAATTTGAGTCTTCAATTAAAGTTATCCCAGGAGAGTATGACGAGGGACCATTCGAAGATTTCGAAAATAATTTAAATTAATAAGATCCATGCTTTATCCCGAAATCTGAGATCATAATTTTTATATAAATTAATATTATAAGGAAAAACTATTTAGTGATATTCCAAAATTAAATAAAATGAAAAATTCAATCATTCCACTGTTTCTTGTTGTGCAGTATGTAAAGTTCCGTACTTATTCAATTTATGTCTACACAGAAAAACACTTTAACATACAGACAAAAAAAACTTGAAGTAGAGTCCTACTTTAAAGATATTTGAACAAATACACTATATCTTTACAACCTGACTTTAGCTAAAAACATTTGATATTTCTAACTCTTTGACCCTAGCCATCTAGTCATAAATCTAAAATATCAGAGGTTTACGACATCATGGGTTGCGAAGATAGTAGGATTACAAAATTAGAGTTTGAGTAGAGTAATCCGTCCCTGTAATGACTTTCAATAAATAAGATTTGATATATCTTTGAAAATAAATCAAATATTGAACAAAGGATTTTGATGTCCGTAAATATTAAATATTGAATATTGAATTTACGTCAAATACTTAAATCTTGATTCAGAGTTTCTAGTTAATCCTGTAGAGATCGAACCTAATAGGCTCAATTCTTACGATAATACTGACGTAGAAACCCTGTGTAAGCTTATTAAGATAAACATCTTACAATTTTAAACATTTATCCAATATTCATTCAGTACAGATCCGGTATTTTAAGATCTTCAAAGAAATTAAAACGAGAAATAAGATTTCTGAAGAAAATATGAATGAAATGGGTAAAATAGATACTAACTTGTCATGAAACTGTAGTTATCTCTGGGTAGGATATATATATATATACTTACTCCTGTGATGAAACTATAGTTATTTCTGGGTAGGATAAATATATTAATACATATATATATATATATATA